ATGAGATACGTTAGGAGCCATAGCTCTTGCTCTGATGCAATGACTGTAAGAGACGAGGGGACACTTGCTTTTCTAGATTGGACACATTCTGAGGCCAGCTGGCATAGTTCAGATTTAGCAGAGCCAGCTCACTCTGAGCTGCTGCAGAGTCATCCAAAGGAAAGAGGATGTTGTCCTTACTAACCATGAACGCCAGTTTTCCTGTCCAACCTGTTCCACCCGGTTAAAATGAAACTGCTATCCCGCTAGATGCAATCTCCTACTATAACTGTTTGATGGTTTAAAGAAACCAAGATGGATCATGTACGGGGAAGGAGGAACCTGTGTGACTAATTTGATTTGCGTGACATCGTTTAGCTTCTGCAGTTCTGCACGATCCTGGTTCTCTTCCGCCTGAATTTCTAGAACCTGAGACCCCATAATAGCCTTATCTAGTCCAAATCATTGGGTAGTTTCTCCGACTTCATCATCTTTGCCCTCTTCACTTGGAACTCCACTTCTTCCTAACTGCCCAATGTCTTCTTCAATTTAATCTTGACTTTCTGTTATGCCCATTCACTCATTCATTCATCCATTCATTCATTCATATATTTATTACGTGCCTTTGATGTCCCAGTCTCTCTTTTTCACCACGAGGTTACTGCAGTGAGCAAAGGCAGACCAAGTCTCTCAATCACTTTCACAGACTAGGTGGGACCATATCCATTCCCAAGGATTTGACTCGAACGTCCACATGACTTATTGCTATGTGTTTATCTAAATTTTCAAGAGTCTGTCTGGAGTTCCAGCCCCATGTCCTGTCTCATGGTCATGTCTTGCCAGTACCTCAAATTCCATGTGTCTTGAACTGAACTTGCCCTCTTCCTCTCCACACCAGTTTTTTTCTCCTCACATCGCTGTTTCATCAATGGTATCTTCATTTCCCCGTCACCAGGCACAAAATCTCAGAAACACCCAACCGCTTCCTTTTCCTCAGTCCCAATACATCACCCAGTTCTGTCTATTCTTCTTCCTTCTGAATAAATGCTTTTCATGTATGTCATTTCCTTTCCTTACTCACTGCCTTGTACTGAGTTCAGATTCCCATTTCAAAGCCTGGACCATTGTGCCTCCTCATTGTGTATTCTCTCCATTCACTTCTTCCTCTAGTCTAGAGCATCCTAATCATCACTGCCTAATTAAACTTAGGGTCATCTAAGGGAGTACTGTAGGTGTTATACAGACCAACTTCTATCTTTCTAAAGTACTTCTTTCAAAACTTCTTTCTAAAGCACTTATTTTCCTACCATCACACTCCACAAACAATACAATTTCAGCTCCTTGGTTTGGCTCTCAAAACCATCCATAATCTGCCCTCCTCTCTCCCTCTCTGAGAATGGCCTTTCTACACCACTACCTCCCCCCTGGGTATCCTTCCTCATCCCTCTAAGCTTGAAACTTCTCCCCTTCTTCCCAGAAATGCATATGATAGCCCAGTGTTCAGAACAGTAGTTTTAGAATCAGACACACCCAGTTCAAAACCCTGTTCTGCCAATCACAAGTTGGGAAAACTTGGGACCTAAGAGCTCTACATCTCCGGTTTCTTATCTTTTAAAAGTGTGGGGGAAGAGCTACCTTGCGGGAGAGTTGTGAAGATTGAGTGAAATTATGCCCAGTTCATAATGCACGATCGATCTCACTACCAAATCTGTGCGCCAAGCAGCTGGAATTCCAAGCAATTCCCCTAAGAAACAAAGTCCCTCATGGGCCCAAAGTAACATCTCTTAAACAGCTGTAGCCTCAGGCTTCCAGCTGGCAGGAACCTCATAACCACGTGCGTTTCTGCCCTGCAGGATGGTTCCCACCCTTTCTGCTCAAATGTTTCCTCGGAGACTCCTTCCCCGGTCTTCGTTTGAAGTCCCCATACACCTTCACTTAATCTCTACACCCCTGTCTTCCTTATTGTCGTCACAGCACTTTTCGCCACGTGAGATAATCTTTCTTGCTCACTTTCCTGTCTGCCTGCAGCCCCAAGACCCCCAGGGTCTGGGTGTCGTTTCTCATTCTGTCTCAGCACCAGGAGCAGCTTCTGATGGAGTTGACTCGATGCATAACCGCATGAAGCTCTGCCTCTCTGAAGTGTCTCCACCCTTCAGACCCAGCTCAGGTCCCTCCTCCCATGAAGCCTTGTGAGCAACTCAGCCCAAAGTAACTTGTCCTCATTTGAAGTCCTGTTACAGATCATCGAAATTCAGCTGAGTCCCTATAGCCATTGTCTAGGCCATGTTCTGGTATTTCTTGTGTTTGTATGTATTTGTAGGTGTTGCATGTATCTGTATGTGACATTATTTCTTACATGTGATATCATTCATACCTTGTATGATCACTTGCCATGTTTTTCGAATCAGGCTATAAATTCCTTGAGATCAAGAACTACTTTTGTGCATCCCCTCGAATTGTTTAGCACAATACTTTACATGTGATGTGCTAACAAATATTCATTTATGTATTGACCTCTAATGTGTACCTGACACCGTTTTAGGTGCTAGGGATGTAATGACGAGCACAGCATTATCCCTAAATAATTAATCCGGTGACACTCAATTATCACGGTGTCTAGATTACAAAGAGGAGGTTCTTGGCTCTCTTGGGAGACATTAGAAAGCCTCGTCCAATCGGAGACTGTCACTTGTTGCCTGGACAACCTCGGGTGTGTCACTTAAACTCTCAGAGCCGCTCTCATTCTGTTATATGAAATGATAATACTTGTCTTGCAGAATTGTAATAGAGATCTGTGAAAACACCGTATAAGCTGCTAAGTTCTATATAAATATCAGTTGTTACTATTACCACTATAGTAACATAATTTAAGCTGAAACTGGAGCCATCATGAACAAAATACATTCGAGATTACTATCACTATCTTATTAAGAATAACATATTAACCAACAAGAATAGACACCTGATAAACTTGATTCTGCCTGCCACTGTGTACTGGGTGACCACCTCTGAGTAGGACTTCACGTTGCCAAATTCCCCCGAGCTCCAGCGCTCTGAGGGGTGACTGCTCCCACCGCAGAGGGAACCCTGTGCCGTGCCGACAGCGCACCTGCTGCTGGAAATGAGGAAAGCTGTAGAACCACGAGCAGAGAGCTCTAGCCCATCCCAAGTAGCTTTCTAGGTGTCTACAATCAAACTCTTGTTGGAATGCCCAAATCTCTCATCAAAGCCTCCCTGTGGTGGCCTGCTGGGGTACGAGAGCCTGGCGGTACCACCATCCAGGGTCAGCCACTTGATCAATATCAACGTGCCTCTCGTAAAAGGGTGTGTACTTCCATTCCGATTCATGCGTCTCTCGTCTTTCTTTCCCAAAAGTCAGGCCTCAGCTTCCTGCGTAAGGGTCATCCCCAACCCTCAGTTGGCTTTCCAATCGGTTGTGAGTCAGGCGGTGCCTCCTTCCCGCCTCACGCGCCACCATGTCCCAGGGCCTGTTGTTTCAACACGTGTCACTTGTGGGAGAGGCAGGTCCACGGGTGATATCATCTGTTTACAAACAGCTTCCACAGAGCACCTCCCGCTGGGAATCAGAGAACCTCAGGGGTGGCAGGAAGGGCCCCTCCCACCCAGAGCAGGACTTCCCTTCGGAGCCTCCCTGACCGGGGTCATTTGGCCTCAACGTTAAACATCCCGGTGAATCGATGGAGCGTGGCTGACCTCACCTCTGTGCACATACCTTTGGTTGGGCGGACGCCATGACAGAGCTTGGCAGTCACTGGGTCACTGACGTAACAGTAGCCAAAGAAGCCAAGCTCCAATTTCCTAAGAGCCTGGGTGTGCCTGCAGAGGCCTGCGTGGCCCTGCCCCTGGGTAGTGGTGATTCCTGAGTAGACTATGACAATCTGAGTCTGTGATCCTGGACTTTGGAATCAGTCAGACCCCAATTCAAATCTCATCTCCCTCACTCGCCATCTGGGGGCCTTGCACATACACGAGCGGTGTGACTTGGGCCAACTCTCTGAAACTCTCGGAACCCCAGTTTCCTCCCATATGAAAAATAAGGGAATTCATGTCTATATTTAAGATTATTGTGAGGATTAAATGAGACAATATATGTAAAGTGCTGAGCCTTGTTCCTGGAACAATTTGAGTTGTGCAGTAAGCTATTGTTACTATTATTGTCACTGTTATTATTGTCTCTTCTCTCTTGAACCAGCAGACATGGATGCAGAGGACCTCATTCTCCGTTTCCTCTCTCCTGATTCATGACCCCAGGCCTCGGTTTCTGACCCACTCAGGATGACCCCCACACCACCACCAGTATCACAACCACCCCCTCTAGAGAATGACACCCCCGTGTTCCTGAGTGTGGCACATCAGACCCCACAGAGTCTGGGAAGCCCATGGCTCCTGATCAGGCCTCAACTGCGGGGGTGAGACCTGGAGAGGGAGCCTCCAGTCCTGTAAGGCTCAGCTTGGGAGTCTCCTTACCCAGCAAGCACAGCAGGGGGTCCATGATCCTTTGTGGCCAAAGCAAAAAAGTCTCAGCTAACCTGGTTCCACAGCCAAGAGCTGCAGATCCAAACCTTTGCCACGTAGCTGCCTGGCCCAGGGGACAGGTGGGTGGGCAAGCGTCTGGGAGGGGGTTACAGAGGACCACGCAGAGCAGATAGGGACATAAACCTGGAATCAGGCAGCCAGGATTCTCCATCACGCACCATCTGGGCTACTCGGAGCAAGTTACATGAACTGTTTCTCTCCTATAAAATGGAACTACAAGCACCTACCTCCCCTAGTTACTGTGAGAATTAAATGAGATGGTGCATGTCCCATTGAGTTCTTAGAACGCTGCCTGGCTCCCTATGCAACTTCTGCTCTCATTGTGAAGCACCAGAGATCCGCTTTTGTTCCGGCAGGAATTTCCGTTTCCTGTCTTTTGCGAATATGCCAAGCTAGGGCTGAGAGGGAGTGGACAGGTAGAACAGACACAGTGAATATCCAAATGAAAGAACAAAAGGAACGTGTGGGTTCTCAGGAGGTAGCTTTATTATGACATGTCTTTAAGACAATCAAATCAGTAGGCATTTATTGAGCACCTACTGTGTGCTAGCCTAGGCAGACAGCAGAGTGCAGTGTCCATGCAGACAGTAGAGTCCACCATGGCTCTCAGGTGCCCAGGCAGGAAAATCACGCGGTCGGGAAGTTTTGTGGGGCTGAGAACGGGGTGGGTTTCTGGACATCCAAGTGCAGTTAGCTTGATGGGGGCCTGGGACGAAGGGGTGCCCCAGACCGGAATTCCAGCACAGTGATAGGAGGCGGGGTGGCAGCACGGCGGCGGGCCGCTCTCTGATTGGCGGGTGGTTCAGGAGAGGCTCTTCCGGGCCTCGGTGCGCTCAGCAGCCGCCGCAGCAGCCCGGGCTCTGGGTGTTGGGGGAGCACTGAGAACTCTGGCTGCCGCCCCCGCAGCACCCGCACCCGCTCCTGCGCTGCCGGCGGCGCCTCCTGGGGAAGCAGCAGCAGCCGGTGGACACGGAGCCGCAGCAGCCCGAGTCCCCGCAGCAGCCGGAGCCGGAGCCGCAGCAGCCGGAGCCGGAGTCGCCGCAGCCGCAGCAGGAGGAGGAGGCCCGGGAGGGCACCGGGGCGGGGCACGGGGTGGGGCCCTGGGAAGACCCTTTGGAGAAGCCTTTGGCGGAAGCGCTCTGCTGGGAGGACATCGCGAAGCTGTCACGAACCTGCAAGAAACGCAGCGTGTCACACGCGAGCAGACTCTTTCTTTCCAACGGTGGAACTTGGGGCTTTTGAGATTTGGCTTTGGGATGGAGCCAGCCTGGCTTGGTACAAGGAAGAAACGAGGGGGAGCAAAGACTCAAACCCCATGCAGGCGTTTCCCGTGAGTTAAACGTGCATAGAGCGAGAACCAATCTGTGCAAACCGTGGATGGCTTTCCATTTCCCGGGACTAGATAAGGAGCCCCCAAGGTTCCCCGAAGTGGAAAAAGAAGAGGCTATCGAGGCAATTTATCTGTACGACCCAACCCAAAATCTTCTCCTGGCTCTTCTCCCCTCCCCCATCTCACTGTGGCCAGAGACCTTCAAGTGATGTGCCTGCGGTTATTGGCCTTGTATAAACACCCCGTCAGTTCGAAAAGACTCACATCACACCTGCATCCCTAACGCGGGGCTACAGAATCCACACAGGCCAGAGGCATGTCCTGGTCATGCTTTCCTGCCTGTGCCTGTCCTTCCCCAAAAACCACAGGAAGAGGAGAGAGATGCTGACTTTGGAAATGCATCCCAGTCCAGGGGACCAAAGACCTGGGCTCTGGTCACATCTCCGCTAAAGACTTGCCGTGGAACCTTGTAAAGCCACACGCACACCCCCAGTCTGGCCTCCAGGTCTTCATTGGTACCGTGAGAGGCTGGCTCACTTGATGCTTAAGGCCCTTTTCAGGCCTCTCCTTGTGCATCCACCTGCTGGCTGTGTTCTGCCTCCTGCTTTTCCCAACCTCCTCCCCAGGCCGCGTTTGAAGACTCACCAGACCCTCACTCCACTGGAAGACACTCAGTTCTCCAACAGGCTGTGGACTGAGCAGTGTCCAGCCAGAGAACCTTATATAAGATTCAATAGCACTGGCTCCTGGGAGGGGCCCATTTCCCAATAGACATGCTCAGCTGACACTCACATCCCAGAGACATTTGTCACTCAGGTAACACTGTAGGTGGTGCACGTGGCTGTTCAAGTCACCACCTAGAAGTGCCAGGATGCTGTGGCATGTTTATTTTCCCAACAGGACACTGTTCATAGCTGGGAGGGCTGTGTGGGTGAAGGCAAAGCAGGGGGCTCAAGTGAGGAGAGGGCTGGAGCCCTTTCTTGGGACCTACTCTCTTTGTCCTTTTTCTACAATGTGGACACACACGCTCGTCCCCTGCTCACACATCATCCCTCTGGAGTCATCTACTTGGCAGTGCATCCACTTGTTATTGGTTTGCATCTCTCCGGTTCTTGGTCCTTGGCTCCTCGAGTCAGGCTACAAGCTATGCAAAAGGCCTGCTGGGCTTTTCAGATGCTTCCACTTGCTCCTAGATTGGATTGAGTGGAGACAATGGTGGGGATGTACCTATGGGAAACCCAGTGGTGATTTCTCTCTGTTACTAGGACAGGAAGAAGAACTCTGTTATGGAACCATGAAGACCAGAAAAGCTGTGAATATAGCCATGTTAGCATATCCCCATCAGCCCTGGTGGGCCGAAGAGAAAAATATGTGCAGGATGCTGGTCCAGTTGCATGCCAAGTCAGCCTGCGGGACTCTCTGCTCCTTACCCCATCCCCAAACTCCCTTTGAAGATAAGTTCTCCCTGGGGCCACTGCCCAATGGAAAGGGAAGGAGTAACGGAAGGGAGGAAGGAAGGGGAAAAGCCAGGAAGGAAGCCACCAATCTTTCCCAAGGTCCAAATTATCCATGGTGTTTTAGAATAACTAATTTTGAAGAATTAGGAGACACCTTGGAGGTCAACTGGTTTCAAAACTGCTTCTTAATCAATGCAACTGCCCACTACCATGAATGTGAGATAAAAGGAATCTAAGACTAAGAATCCAAGAGTTGTTGGTGAAGCATAGGTTTGGGGGTGAGTGAACTGGGCGTGGCATGAGGGAACAGACAAGGAAAGGTAAGTCACGAATGATACCAGTTTCATTTAACGTGGCTTTAGAGCCTGATTAACAGGATGCATGTATCTAGGGTCACCTGCTGGTGAGTCCAGGTGAGACATTCCAAGAGGTGAGGTCAGTATTAGAAAAGAAGGAAGTAATGAAGTACCAAGATAGAGACAGGATCTCTGCTGGGAGAAGATTTGGGCAAATGCATGCTCATTAATGGCCTTGCTGTGACCTCATACTCTAACTTACTTTACCCATTACCGTTGACTTTTATCAAAGACAGGGCTAGTTGTTCATCTTGTATATCAAAGGCTGATTGGAAATTATCATTTCTATCGCAAACATTCTGTGTATCTCCTGGAGGAATCAGCCTATTCCTGAAGGAAGTAGGAAACCCAATGCAGTCACCAAAGCCTCCCTGCTCTCACCTCCCCAACCCCCACCCACCCACCCACACCCAAACCACGTGGAGGAGGGTGTCCTTCTTGGTTCTCTCCTCGGACCCAAACTCAGGCTTTCAGGATCCAGGGATAATGGGCCCAGACATTTCATCCCTGCCTCCTAAACGCACACCCCCAGAAACGAGTCCCCATCAGGTCTCCTCTCTAGTCAACTGGTGGAAGCACCGGGGATTTTAATGGAAAAGTAAAGGTGTCCATTCATTGGAGCCCAGAATGAGCACTTTAGGTGATCTTATTCCCCAGCCCTAGGAGGTACTTGAAGGAGAACTTCCCAGAGTGAATCCTCTCACCATGACCTTTCTGGGTACCACCTTGCTCCTCTCTGAAAGCCTGCTCCTGGCTCTCCTCATGCCAGGCTGGTGTCAGGATCATGGTCTCGGATGTGACTTTTTCCTTCAGGTTTCAAGGTTCCTCGCTCAGAGCATGAAGGGGAAACGTGTCTCCCAGAGGTCTAGGTAGCTTCAGTGCCAAAGTCTGCTTCTCAAACGGGTTTTTGAAGTGTTCACTTGCACTTAAAAGAAGGGAAGGGGAGATGGCTGGATGCAGGGGGTGGGGCTCGGACAGGCGAATAAAACATAATCAGTGACATCAGGAATAAAGAGGTTTATTGGTACAAAAAAAAAAAAAAAAAAAAAAAGCTTCATCACTGAACTTCGTCCGAGAGGAGAATCAAACCAGTGAATATCCGAGGTTAGACCTCTAGCCCTCACAGTGGAATGAACATGGCAGGAAGGAGAGGGAAACGCAAAGCATTTCAGAAGCCCTTGCACGGGGAACAGGGACAAGAGAAGGCTCAAGACTGGGCGGTCATGGGCACTTTGACTCCTCCAATGCTGCTCAGTGCTGCTCATGGCCCAGGTCAACAGCAGCCGGAGCCCCCAGAATGGTGGCCACTGCCACTGTCACAGCAGTCAGAGTGGTGGTATCGGCGTCGAATAGTTCGGCGTCGAAAAGATGGGTGGGGCTTGTGGTGGCTCAGGCAGCAACTGCCACCCCCAAAGCCACAACAGCAGCCACCCCCAAAGCCACAGCAGCCGCCACCCCCAGAGCTACAGCAGCCCCCAGAGCTGGGGCCACCGCAGGAAGAGACTGGAGGTGGGCAGGGGGCTGGACACTTGGGGGGACACTTGGGTGGACATTTGGGGGGACACTTGGGAAGAGGCTGGCACTGCTGCTGACTTTGTTGACAGGACATCTCAGCAGAAGCTAAAAGACAATACAGAAATTTTAAGCTCAAGCTAACTCCCTGACATTTAAAATTGAACTTGAATTCACAGGATTTAATCTTTATAGTGATCAGATTTTTAAAGCCCTATCTCCCAAAATCAATTACAAGAAATATGTAAAAAATTTCAACCCAGGAACTCAATAATTTTAAAGGAATCCCTTGCAACTTCAAAAACAAACACCCATCATCCTTTCCTTTCCCCTACCTCGCACCTTCCCCTTCCGGCAGAGGCCCCTTCTACTAGTAAGTCTCCCTTTCTCCTTGTGTTTCTTCAATACTGTCCTCTACTCGGGCTTCTCTCTGCCCACAACACCAGCACCAGGAGTCTCTCCTGGTCCTCGAGCTGTGTTCTCCCTGCTACCGGGACTAGAGCAAGTCACTCAGGAGGCAAGTGGACTGAGGTGCTGTCAGAAGCATCTGCTTTTTATATGGAGTCAACTCTCTGCCCTGGTACCAGGAGGCTCAGACCATGTGCAGGATGCTGATAGCATCTTTCACACGGGACACGGGTGACTCCCCTCCTCTCACATCCTAAGGACCCAATGCTTCCCTCCATAAGCATGTCAAGTATTGACCCATAGGAACATCCCCTTCAGGATGGTGATAGAGCTCAGCAGATTGCACACAATGCCTGCCAATCACACAGGCAGCTCTGCTATGCTCCCTGTTTCCTGAGCTGGGTCGGTAGGGTTCTAGACCTCTGGGACCAAGAGAATGTCTCTCTTCTCCTTAGTATAGGAAATGGAGGGAGAAATTCCCAAGGGGAAGTTAAATGGCCCTTTTTAGAATAAGCACAGAGATCCAAAATAAAGTGCCAGGCCCAAGCCAATGATCTAATGTGGCTTTTTCATTCTTGGACGATGCCATAACCCAGGCTAAGAATGTTTGATATCTCAATGATGTTATTTTAGGCAGGCCTAATGCAGGTGGTGGGGGTGGTTAGGCTTCTCTCCTCACCTGAACTTGACCCACGGAAAGAACTCACAGAGAGCACTGACTCAGCACTAGCAAACCCTTTGAAAGGGCAGAGGAGGTCTAGGAATGGCTTCTCTTTTCACGGGTGGTCCTAACGAAGGCATCTTTGGCCAGCCCAAGGTGAGGGGACAGAGACCAGGTGTATGTGAGGGGTGGAGCAGGAGGACTAGACTCATATGGAAGTTGCCAGAAGTGCAGCATCAGTTCTGGTCATCCCGAAGAAGAGAGCGTCCAGCCTAGGAAGATTCTTTTTGTAAAAATGATCTTTTTGTTTAAATGCCCTTCAGATGGGGTATGGGCCTAGTTTTTGCAAGCCCAAGATGGGATGACTCCAAACAATATGCTTAGGGCAAGTTAGATCCCAGAAAAGTCATCAAAATCCAGTTAGCTGTGAAGTTAGCCAAAATATGGCATGTTCGCTATGCAAACTGCAGTGGGAGGAAAGCAGGCAGGAGAAACACACGGCACCTCTAAGCTGAGCTAAGGAGCTGTGATGAGAAGCATGTGGGTACATTACAGCACAGCTTTTGGAGAAAGACGGTCTGGCATCCGTTCCCAGCTTTGCCAAATCTAGCAAGTCACTCAATTATCGCTATAAAACGGGCCTAAGAATTATTCCTACCCAGTAAATACGAAAATATGGATACAGTTCTTAGAAGAGTGCCTGGGACTCTTAGTTCAAAATGCTAGTTTAAAAAGAATCTAATCATTAAAGATATACTTTTAGACCCATGAGAAAATATCTCTTACATTTCAGATTACTGATCTGCCAATTTTCGAAACCCAAACTACTTTTTGCAATACCAGAGCTTAGCCCTAATGTTTTCTTAAGTATCTTTAAAATATTAAGATACTTAGTATGCCCCTGGGGGTGAGATGATAAGAAAGTTTAATCATTCTGGAAAAAAAATACCAAAAATAGGAAGAATTTAAAATTCATTTATAAACCCACCCCCAAGTATTCTTAACATTTTGCTATGCTATTTTCCTTCTCAGTCTCTTTTTTCTACTTTTGTTCTGTCTTTTTTTACTTTATATGGTTTCTCTTCAGTAATTTGTGTTTTGATTTTACTTTACATAGTCTTTATCCACAATACTTACATAAGAGTTTATCTTAATATTTTGACGTAACCATTTTCCATGTTGTTATTCATGTCATTGTAAGCATTATTTTTGTCATTATTTCACGGAGGGCACAAGATCCATTTATAAGTGATCAGGAGCATGAGTTCTAGAACCAGTCTCTGAGTTTGAATTCCAGTCTCCACCTACCAGCCATGTAACCTTGGCCAGGTGGCATGAGCTTTCTGTCTCACTGTCCTCATCTAGGATATGGGGGAAGTAATAGTG